ACAACATCTTTGTTGGTATGTGGTGCTGAGGATCGAACCCGGGCCGCACACATGCCAGGCGAGTGCGCTACCGCTTGAGCCACATCCCCAGCCCACATTATTTTATTTCTTTGTGGCTGAATAAAACTCCATTGTGTATATATACTACTTTTTCTTTATCCATTCATCCATTGATGGACACTTACGCTGTTTCTGTAGTTTGGTTCTTATGAATTCTGCTGCTGTAAATATGGATGTGCATGTATCACTGAATATGATGACTTTAATTCTTTAGGGTAAATACCAAGGAGTGGCTTAGCTGGGTCCTATGGTGGTTCCAGGTCTAGTCTTTTAAGGAACCTCCATACTGATTTCCATAGTGGTTGTACTAAGTTCCAATGCCACCAACAGTGTAAAAGTATTTTTTTCCATCCTCTTTAGTGTGTATTATTATTTGTATTCTTGATGACTGTCATTCTTATTGTTGTGAGATGAAATCCCAGTGTAGTTTTTTAAAAATTTACTTATTTTCATTAGGTATATATGACAGCAGAATGCATTTTTGATTTATTGTACACAATTGAAGCACAACTTTACATTTCTATGGTTGTATACAATCTAGCGTCACACCATATATGAAATCATACATGTACCTAGGGTGATGATGTCTGTTTCATTCCACCATCTTTCCTACCTCCATGCACCCTCCCTATCCTCCCTCCCCTTTGCACAAAGTTCCTTAATTTTTCCCGTGCCACCCATGTCTCCGGTATGGATCAGCATCCATTTATCGGAGAGAACATTCAGCCTTTAGTTTTTTTGGGATTGGCTTACTTTACCTAGCATGATATTTTCCAACTCCATAATGCAGCTGCATCAATGTTCATAGCAGCTCAGTTCACAATAGCTAAACTGTGGAAGCAACCTAGATGCTCTCTAATAGATAAATGGACAAAGAAACTGGTATATATACACAATGGAATCTTACTCAGCAATAATAGAGAATAAAATTATGACATTGCAGGTATAAATGGATCTCAGTTTAGTTTTGATTTGCATTTCTCTAATTGCTAATGATGTTAAACTTTTTGATATATTTGTTGGCCATTTGTATTTCTTCTTTTGAGAAGTGTCTGTTTAATTAATTGCCCATTTATTAATTGGATTATTCTTTTTTTTAATTTATTTTTTCTTTATATATTCTAAATAGCAACTCTCTGTCAGAAGAGTAGCTAACAATGATTTTTCCCCATCCTGTGGGTGCTCTCTCTCTTCACATTCCTAATCATTTCTTTTGCTGTGCAGAAGTTTTTTAATATGGTGCTATTCCACTTATTAACTCTTGGCATTATTTCCTGAACTTCAGGAGTTCTACTGAGAAAATAGTTGCCTGTGCCTATATATGCTGGAGTGTTGACTCTATATTTTCTTCTAGGAGTTGCATAGTTTCTGTTCTAATTCATAACTCTTTGAGTCATTTGAATTGATGTTTTGTGGAAGGTGAAAGATAAAGGTCAAGTCTCATTCTGGTTTTATGCTAGCACCATGCAGTTTTTGTTGCTATAGTTCTGTTAGTATAATTTGAAGTCAGGTATTGTGAAACTTCCAGCATTACTTTTTTTTTGCTTAGAATTGCTTTGACTATTCTGAGTCTTTTATTCTCCCAAATGAATTTTAGGATTTTTTTTCCTAGTTCTGTGAAAAATGTCATTGCTATTTTGATTGGGATTGCATTGAATCTATATTACTTCTAGTAGTATGGTCATTTTAACAATATTAATTTAGCCTATCCATGAACATGAGAGGTCTTTCTATCTTCTGAGGTCTTCTTCAATTTTGTTCTTCAGTGTGTTCTATAGTTTTCATTTTAGAGATCTTTCACTTGCTTGGTTAGATTTATTCCTAGGTCCTCCCTCCCCCCAAGATTATTTTGAATGGAATTGTTTTTCTGATTTCTATCTTAGCAGATTCATTGTTGGTATACAGGAAAGCTATTTATTTTTATGTGTTGATTTTGTAATCTGCTACTTTGCCAAATTTTTTTATTAGGTCTAGCAGTCTTTTGGTGAAGTTTTTTTTAGATCTTCTAGGTATAGGATCATATCTTTTGAAAACAGTGATGATTTGACTTCTTCCTTTCATATTTTTTATCCCTTTTATTTCCTTCTTTTGCCTAGTTGCTCTGGATAGAATTTTTAGCACTATATTAAATAGGAGTGGTGAGGATAGACATCCTTGCCTTGTTCCAGATTTTAAAGGAAATGCTTTCTTTTTCCCCATTTATTGTGAGGTTAGCTTTATGGTGTTGAGTTAGGTTCCTTCTATCCCTAGTTTCTTCAGTGTTTTTCTCAGGATTGGGTGCTGAATTTTTCAAGCTTTCCCTGCCTTTATATGAGCTAAGTGATTTATGACCTTACTTCTTTTTATGTGATAAATTACATTTATTGATCTTTGTATATTAAACCATCCTTGCATCTCTGGAATAAGAACAAGTTGGTTGTGATATACGATATTCTTATGTTGTTGAACACAATTTGCTAATGTTAAGTATTTTTGAATCAAGTTCATCAGAGATATTGGTGTGTAGTTTTCTTTCCTTGATATATCCTTATCTGGTTTGGTATAATATGATACTGGCTTTATAGAATGAATATGGAAATGTTCCATCCCTTTCTATTTTATGGAATAATCTGAGGAGTATAGGTATTAGTTCTTTAAAGGTTTGGGAGAATTTTGCTGAGAATCCATCTGGTTTAGGGCTTTTTTTTTTTTTTGGAAAGCTTTTTATTACTGCTTCTATCTCATTACAAGTTATTGGTCTGTTTAGGTTTTCTGTATCCTCTTGATTCAGTTTTGGCAGATTATATTTGTCTAGAAATATCCTTTTCTTCTAGGTTTTCCAAAATTAGAATATGTTTTCATGGTAGTCCCTAATCTACTGGATATCTGTGATGTCTGTGGTGATTTCTCCTTATTCATCTCTAATTTTATTAATTTGAACTTTTTCTCTTTTTTCTTTTGGTTAGTTTAACTAAGAACTTATTAAACTTAACCTCTTAATGTGCTAGTCTTTTTTTAAAAATATTTATTTTTTAGTTTTAGGTGGACACAGTATCTTTATTTTATTTTTATGTGGTGCTGGTGTCAAACCCAGTGCCTCATGCATGCTAGGCGAGCACTGTACCACAGAGTGGTGTACAATTCCAGCCCCAATGTGTTAGTCTTTTCATTCCTATTTTTAATTGTAGGCTTCCCTTAAAAGAATGGGCATGCCATTTTCTTTCAGTAATCATGAGTAACCAAAATGGTTATTTTTCTGAGGAGGGTGGTATGGTGAGGAGAAATAGGGAGCAATAAAATCATTCCTCAGCTCAGTTCTGGACTTAAGACTGTAGTAGAGTGAGAATGGGAAAAGAATTAATTATAAATTCTCCCATGGTGCCTTGCTAGAAAAGGTCTTTGTAACACTTCTAAAGTATGACTCTGTGTGTGTGTGTATGTGTGTGTGTGTGTTTAATGAGACAATAATCAAGTTTTAAAGAATGGAGAATCATCTCTCTCTCTTACCTGCTTTCTTCAGGATGATGCTCGGCAATTATTTGTTTTAGCTGGCAGTGCTGAAGAAGGAGTAATGACTTCAGAATTAGCAGGAGTGATTAAACGGTTATGGCGAGATGGTGGGGTACAAGCGTGCTTCAGCAGGTCCAGGGAGTACCAGCTTAATGATTCTGCTTCATAGTAAGTAATTTTGCTTTATGAAACCGTAACAGAACAAACATCATGGCCCTAGAGAAAGTTCAGTGCCCATCTCTAAAGAAATGTTTAAGTAATAGAAACTCTAGAAGTTTATAGGATCCTTTATTAAAGATTATCTCAATTTAGGAGTATAGAGGACTTGGTCATTTATATGATTTGGAGAAAAGAGTTCCCTCATGGAATATAAATGGGAGATTTGGCACCACAAAATTAGCTTCATGGTATATTTATAACAAGCAAGCAAAGGAGAGACATCCAGTGTAGCTGAGCCTGGATCTCTTCCAGCTCTATCTAGTAAGTTCCCTGTGCATAAGGGCTTGGCACTGATAGCAGCTAGAGGGGTAAATTAGAATTGTGACACTCCTTTTCATGCAGCCAGTTGTCTGTGTATGGGCTGCATGCTATGATTTCTCTGGTACTAGTCACCACTTACAAATGTTTTGCCAGATTACAGTAATAGACTTTATTATAGAAAGAGAACATTGAGTCATAAAATGAAGTTTGAAGCCTTTTTTTGTTAAGGAAATTTTCTTAATATTAGTTTTAGAAAATTGGTAATTAATACTTAGGTTGCCTATTATATGTCATTCCATTTTGACCCTGTACACATTTGTTTTAAGATCTATAGTTATTGGTTTTTTTCATTAAACTTTTTGGGGGAACTTGTTGAGTACTTGATATCTGTGTCCTTCTCTGTACTAGATAAGAGCATTTAAACATTAGGTAATTCCTCCATTATTATATTTTCCTATTTTCCTCATTCTTATTTTATCATATATTGTTATAAGAAATTAAATGATGTTTGAGAAGCTTGCTTATGACTTTGGAAATATTTCAGGATTCTTGCCCAACTTTTAATAACATTTTTTAGTTGGAGATATTAATTTAAATAATTCTCCCATGGTCATCAGGGATAGATTTTTTTCTTTTTTTTTTAATTTGTTTTAATTAGTTACACATGACAGTACAATGATCTTGACATAGGGGTAGATTTTAATTGCTTTTTTCTATCATAGATTCAGTAAGCTCTGGATCTTCAAACTACATGTAATTTACAAAGTTGGGTTTTTCCCTCCATAATTGTTCATCTAAGCTTGACTCCTTAACATTAATGGTAATATTTGGTTACATAGAAGATCTTTAATGATTCAGTTATATTGGTGCCATGTGTTCTTCAGTTTTTCAGCCTGGAAATCGGTGGAGAATTTGGCTTTGTGTCCCCCTGCCCACTACCACCACTGGGATTGAACTAAGGAGCACTCAGCTATTGAGCCACATCTCCAGCCCTATTTTGTATTTTATTTAGAGACAGGGTCTGACTGAGTTGCTGAGTGCTTCTCTTTTGCTGAGCCTGGCTTTGAACTCTCAGTCCACCTGCCTCAGCCTCCAGAGCTGTTGGGGAGAATTTGACTTTGAAGCAATCTTTTAGTTATTCCACTGAACAAAAATTAAAATTTTTTTTTTTTATAATTTGTTTTTGACTTAGTTTAAAAAAAACAAAAACAAGCTAGCAGCTGTTTTCCCAGTGGTAAAGCGCTAGTATACAGGAGGCCCTTGGTTTGAAAACAACCCCTACAAATTTATAATCCTGCTTCCTGAATTAAAACAGGAAATGTTCATTCTTACTATAGTTTTCATCATTCAAATGCCATTCTCTAATGTTTCATCAAGAGGTTAAACATGCAAATAACCTATTAGGCTTAAATGACAACTTTTGACAACTTTGGTTTTTCTACTGTAAACTTCAGAAATTTTTCTTGAATAACATTGTCATATTGTTTTATAAATTGGCCTGCACAGTGTAATTCTGTAGAATTAAAACCACTTTTGTTAGTGTATGCATAACCTACTTTAAATGTCCTATGCTAGGTTTATAGTTTTCCTGATTAATATTCCATGATACTGAAGATCTGATTTTGTTTTGCTACTTTAGTAACAGGTTCAGAATCTACTTTTGGCAACGAATTATTTAGTCTGTTGACTTGCTATACACATGATTTGCTTCATCAGGTAAAAATAAATGTATTTATTTTTTAGTTACCTAAATGATCTGGATAGAATATCCCAAAACAACTACATTCCAACTCAGCAAGATGTTCTTCGGACAAGAGTGAAGACCACAGGCATTGTGGAAACACATTTCACCTTCAAAGATTTATACTTCAAGTAATTATTAGCCTTTTTGCTAAATAAGCCTAACACAAACATTAACCTTTCTTACATTAAGTAAGCTTCTAAGATTTGTCTAGGCAATATTCCTTTGTTTAGAAACTTATCATATTATTAGCCATTATCTGAATGTTTTAACTAATGGGAGCCCAAACATTTCTTTTTTTGTCCAAGTAGAATAAATTATTTGATGCATTTGGAGGAAACTAAATTCAGAATTAAATTGTAGTTCACCTACCAATAGAATCAATCATGTGATTACCAATTTGTATTACTTTTAATTTTATTCTCTTTAGCTACTTTTTGTTAGTCTTGAAAACAGACATTGAATCTTTAGAGTGATAAAAATACTAAATGAACATAACTTTCTGAATAGTTATAAGGCTTCGTTCTGCCATTTTTATATTAAATTTGAAATAACAGTGTCATTCCTTTCTTACTGGTTTCCATTTTACTTTAAGGAGATAGATCTAATATTGTGATGGGTCTTGGATTGATGTGTGCATAGAATTATCAACTAAGTTCTTAGTATAGCACAGAAAGGAAAAAGAACTTGAGGGAATAGGTCTTTAGGGGCAATATAATGACATAAACAGTGATTGGATTGTTTTAGAGAGTAAATTCTAGTATTCTAAAACAAAGAATTTTCTTATAGAATTAGTAATTAATTCTAAAACAAGCCGCAGCTTGTCTCTGTGTTAATGGTCTTTTATAAATAATAAAACAGTCTCTTTGATTCCCATTTTCCTTTGAGATTAGGAGTGAATTTTTCCCCTTTGATACATGATGTACTTTTTGGTTTCTTCATGCTTATAGGTAGAATAGGATAGCATTATTCTGTACAAAGGTAAATAACTACTGCCACAGATCCTTTTAGTTTTCTTTTCTTTGAAATAGTTGCCTTCCAGAATTTGTGAAATCCATAGATATTTATGTATTATTGGGTACCAGTTGTGGTCTTGAAATTGTAATACACCAAACAGATTTAAAACCTGCTGTAGTATATTAATAGTTAAACTGAATGTTTTTAGAATAGGCTACTTATCATTCTGATGAATTTATTTAACAAGAGCAGCAAAACCCACATGGAATAGCTAGTGAAACCATAGGAATGAGATGTCTCTTTGTGTACTATAAAATTAGCAATTTTTTATAATTAAGTCTTCTGACTATTATTTGTTTAGTGTGGGAAACTTGTTGATGTCATAGATTGTTCTTTAGTTAAGTAAATCCTGTCTATCGGATCAGTAGCAGATTGAATAAAAGTGCCACACCACTTTATTATTGGCATGTAGAGATATCTTGTTATGAAGTACTATCATTTCTTCCTTTTCCTCTTCTCTCTAGGCAAAACCACTATCCATTTATTCAAACATTTATTGAGCATCTACCATATGCAAGGCATTGTGTAATTGCTTACTTGCCTCTCAGTTATGAGGTAATGTTTATAAAATGTTGATCTGTCAGTGAATGATATTGTAAATGTTAATATGTACTAAAAGCCCACCTTGGAACTTCACAGTGTTCTACCAGATTTATGGACTTTATGGAAGAAATGCGGGAGTAAACTGGAATTATTCGTGCACTGGTCTCCCCTTGAAAGAGTTCCATGGTGAAATATGTGGTATTAACCTTCCTACAACCTGTGATCTGACCCTTTGTTAAAGCCCGCTTGTTATTGCATCATTTCAGGTGTCATGCATGACCAAAGTTGAATAAAGAACTGTGCAAGAGCTGGGTGCGATGGTGCACACCTGTAATCCCAGCACCTTGGGAGGCTGAGGCAGGAGGATTGCGATTTCAAAGTTAGCATCAGCAAAAGCAAGGCAACTCAGTGAGACCCCCTCTCTCAATAAAATACAAAATAGGGCTGGGCATGTGGCTTAGTTGCCAAGTGCCCCTGAGTTCAACCCCTTGTTCCTTCCCCACCAAAAGAACTATGTAAGATCAACCAAAAGAAGGGTTGGTCACAAATAAGATGAATATTCCCTTTCAAATGTATATCAAGAAAACACTAACTCTATCTTATATCTTTCGATCTCGGGGGGTGGTAAGTAATCCTGGAAATTTAGGTCCTTAGATATTGTAGATCTGATACAATAAACCAGTATAGCAGAATTTAGCCTATAAAGTTGTTATCATTGTTATCAAATATAGATTTTGAGAGTCTTATTTATCTATTTACATGCATACCTCATCAGATCCAGGTGGCAGCTAAAAGACATTGCTGAGTATAGGTGACCCTGGCATTACAATAAATAGGTGAGGACACTATTCACAGAAATTCAGCACTTTACTAGAGAGTGGTGGACTAAAACTAATCTGTGGTGAAACAAAGTAGTTGAATAATTGAAACTTCATGTTATTATTAATTAGTTTCAAGAAAGACTTGGAGCTGAGAAATAACTGGTTAAGGAGTTTTTAAAAATACCAGGTTCTTTGTCCCACCATAAAATATAATTTATTATTATTTTTTCATAATTTTTCTCTCAAATATTTTGACTTAACACAGGGAAAACTAACTTGTGAATCAGTAGGAAGATGTTGGAAAGCCGAATACAAATTGGAGACTTAGAGACAAATCATTCTGAGAGGCAGGGTGGTGGGATGGATGAGTATATATAGATGCTAGAATTCTTTAGAGTGCTTGAGTCTAGATCCCCAGTCCCCATCTTTATAGTAGTGTGCTTTTGAGAAAACTATGACATATCTATGCCTTAATTCCTTCATCTGTAAAATGAGGTTGATAACAATAGTACTTTTGGGATGTTAGGACAGTAAAGTGAGTAAATGTTTTTAAGGTGTCTAGGGTAGTGTCTGGCACAATGGTAAACACTCAATAAATACTGGTTTTATTATGATTGCTGTTATCTTAAGCTGTATTGTTCAGCTCTTCATTTTTTCCTTTCTTTGTCCTCTCTTTCCTTTAATTCATTTCTGTGCTTATTCTGCTGACTTTTGGCATGTCCAATAAAAGATTTTATAGGGAAGAACCTCAACTATATCTAAATGAGAATTTAAATTATTCCTAAATTTTATTTTCTCATTTTGCTGTTTTTAACTTTTAGTCACAGATAATTATTTTGACTACATTTTATCTGCTCCTTGTTTGTCTTTTCTATTACAAGTGAGATTTTGAATATGTAATAATGGAAATATTTTTAATCATTACAGTTTAGGGGTTGTATAAATATGATCTTGTTGAATTTGTGCTTTTTTCTCCTTGCTCAGGATGTTTGATGTAGGTGGCCAAAGATCAGAACGAAAAAAGTGGATTCACTGTTTTGAGGGGGTAACAGCAATTATCTTCTGTGTGGCCCTCAGTGATTATGACCTAGTTCTGGCTGAGGATGAGGAGATGGTATGTTGAAGCTTCTGGTTAAAAGCCTGTCTCATGCAGTCAGGAAATGGAAAGTAACTCTCAAAATAACTGGGTGTATCCATTTGTTCACTAAAGCAAAACTTAAGATCCTTAGTTTTTCTGTGTGTCAGTGAGAGTAGATTTTCAAAATTAATTGTTACATCTCTTAAAAAGATGTAATAGCCCTCATTGAGTATGTGGTCAGGGATAAATGGTTTTCTTGGTTTTTCCTTCTTCTCACCAATAATTATAAAAATGAGGAGTGAATCAACTTTGTTATTAGTGCCTAACATATTTCCATGAATCCCTTTCACTGCTTTAAAACCTGTTAGTCTGGTTTTTTATTAAATTAAACCATTTTTTAATCCTCTTTTTTACTTCTGACCTATTCTTCTTTTGGGGGTACTGGAAATTGAACCCAGGGGTGATTTACCACTGAGCTTTTACCACTGGAGCTACATCCCCATCCCTTTGTATTTTTCATTTTGGTTGTAAGTTCTGTGTCGAAGGAACCGCTGAGCTAGAGCCAGTCCTCATTTTGGGATAGGGTCTTGCTATGTTATTGAGGCTGGCCTTGGCTTTCAGTCCTCCTGATTAAGCCAGTCCCCATCTTTTTAGTCTTCCTGCTTAAGCCAATCCCCAGTAGCTGGGATTACAGGCATATATCACCATCCTGGTTTGATTTATCAATTTTTGATTGTTTTTCAGAACCGAATGCATGAAAGCATGAAATTATTCGACAGCATTTGTAACAACAAATGGTTTACAGACACTTCAATCATTCTCTTCCTTAACAAGAAAGACCTTTTTGAAGAAAAAATAAAGAGGAGTCCATTAACTATCTGTTATCCAGAATATACAGGTACGGGTTCATGAAAGATTTTATTGGCTATACATATCTTAGGTCAATACTTCAGTGACATTCATCCAACCAGCTTTTGTTGTGGGTGTTTGTTTATTTGTTTTTGTGGTACTGAGGATTGAAGCCAGGGGCCTTTACTACTGAGCTACATCCCCAGCCCTCTTTGTTTTTTATTTTGAGATGGGGCCTTGCTGAGTTGTTTAGGGTCTTGCTAAATTGCCTAAGCTGGCCTTGAACTTTCAGTCCTCCTGAGTCAGCCTCCTAAGTAGCTGAGATTACATGTATGTGCCACCATACCTGCCTGTTTTTTGTTTTAAATGTTTCATATATGCCCTTAGGGAGAGTATTCACTAGTATTGGTATCAGCATTAAGCACAATGATTAAGATCCCCTAGGAGCTGGGGTTGTGGCTCAGTGGTAGAGTGCTTGCTTAGTGTATATGAGGCACCGAGTTTTATTCTCAGCACTGCATAAAAATAAATATAATAAAGGTCCATTGACAACTAAAAAATATTGTTTAAAAAATCTCTTAAGTTGAGTACTATTGACATAATCAGGTTTTCTATGTTCACCTTAACTTTCTAACCTCATTTTTTGAGGAGAGTAAACAAGGATAAATATTAAAATTTGGTATATGTTCACAAAGATAAGATGCATTGTGTTCAAGAAACTCAATCTGGTTTTAGAAAGAGAAACATAATTTTATTGTAGTGCAAAATGTGCATTGATAGAAGTAGAAAGAAAGAAAGAAAGAAAGAAAGAAAGAAAGAAAGAAAGAAGTGGTTCCCTCCTATGGAGTCAGCATAGTCTTTTCTTAGAAGAATGGCACTTGCATGAGCTGTTAAGAAGATGAATTAGAAGTCATCAGGCAGACAGGAATAAAAGCATTTTTTAAAAAGGAAATAGCATATTTGACAATATGGAGGTTACAAAAATGACAGGACTTGTTCTGGAACCTTGTGTTATTATAGGAATTTAAAGTTAGATGGTCAGGAATGAGCTAATGGAGAGACAGTGAAGAACAGTCGGAAGATTTTAACTGGGGTGCATAAGGTAGCATAAATACTGCTTTTGAAAAACTATGCAATAAATGATAATAAATATAGCTAATAGGGGAGCTGAATTAGGAAGAACTTTGCCAGAATGTAGATAAAAACTTTTGGTGGGGACCCAGGGATCGCTCATATAAGCCAAGGCCAAGAATATAGATAGGTCTTTGAATGAAATTGGAACTAGGAAATATAAAGCTGTTAGGTATGCAGGAAGTACTTTTTATCCTTATCTGTTTCCCTCCTGCGTCTCTTCTTTATTCTTCTCTTTCTCTATTTATCAACTTTTTGTTTTACTTAGTTTTACAATAAAAGATGGCCTTGCCTGAGGTTTTGTTTCTTCTCCCATTAGAAAGGTTGTGTTGGGATTGCTTGGCCTTAAGTTTGAATTCCTGAGATAGAAATTCTGGCCATAGTTCAATCAGGCTAAAATCTATGGGCTTAGTCATTGGAGGTGGGTGGTACAAACATGACTACCAGGGCTTCACCACTATGAAACTTGGAGGTCAGAGTCAGGTATTCCCAGGAGAGAACTCTTGTTAGCTGAAGCACTATATGTGCTTTCTATAAGAAAGGGAAAGGGTATGGCAAGGGTGAAGAAATGGGAAGAGTTAAAGGAACCCATGTTTCTGTCTCAATTGGATATATGTGCTATGATCTGAATTCATATTTAGGATAGTTATTTTGAAATATCTATGGAACATCCAGATGGAGATGTGTATTAGGTGGCCTAGGAACTTTGGAAGAAGTTGAGTTAGATATGTGTGTGTGTGTGTGTGTGTGTGTGTGTATCCATTTTGTTGTTGTGAATTTGACAATCCTAATTTCTTTTGTGCAATTAGTGAAATTAGGTGGGAAAAGAAGGAATTAAGAGTCTAAGAAGGATGGATGGATAAACAATTGTGGCATATACATACAATGAATGTGATTTAGCCATAGAAGGGAACAAAGTACTGATATATCCATCTTGGATATATGTCAAAAATATACCAAGTAAAAGAAGCCAAACATAAAAGATCACATATTATGTGAATTCCTCTTATGTAGAATATCTAAAATAGTTAAATTCATAGAGATAGAAAGCATGTAGGTGTTTACCAGGGGAGGAGATATGGATAGCATGAGGAGTGATTACTTAATGGGAACAGGGCGTTTCTCTGGAAGGTAAAAACAAGTTTTGAAACATTAGAAGAATGAGAGTATAACATTATGAATATATCAAATGATATGAAATTGTATGCTTTAAAATTGTTATGTTGGGTGAATTTTCCTTGATAATTAAAAAAACAAAATGTGTAAGTAATCTTTTTGTTTGGGTATTGGGGATTGAACCCATAGGTGCTTAACCACTGAGCCACATTCCCAGACTTTTTTGTATTTTATGTTGGGATAGAGTCCCATTAAGTTGCTTATGGCCTCACTAAGTTGCTGAGGTTGGCCTTAAACTAGTGATCCTCCTGAGTCAGCCTCTTGAGCTGCTAGGATTACATGCATGTGTTACCTCACCTGGCAGAGTCATTGGTTTTGGACAGAAGGAAAGACATCTCTAAGTCCAGAGAGCAGATATTGGTAACTTTTAAAACTAGCTGGTAGGCTAAAAAGTTGAGGTATACTTTAAATCTCATAGCCTCTATTTTCTCAAGAAAGTAGGAATTGACATCTGTTCAGATTAAGGAACAGAGGGAGGTGAGAATTAGATGAGTTTATAGAAAGGAGCCAAGTTTTTAGGATGGGAAGAGAAATCATACTGAAGTAACAGGGTTAGCATTAATTATGAAGGGCCTCTGGGAGACTTCACCAAGGCAAAGAGCCTTCATTATCATATCCATTTTGTTGTTGTGAATTTAACAATCCTAATTTCCTTTGATTTCATTAAAGATTCTCACAGTTCTGCTGAGCATGGTGGTGCTTGTAATCCCATCGGCTCAGGAGGCTGAGGCAGAAGGAACATGAGTTCAAAGCCAGCCTCAACAAAAAGCAAGGTGCTAAGCAACTCAGTGAGACCCTGTCTCTAAATAAAATACAGAAAAGGGCTGGGGATTCAGCTCAGTGGTCAACTGCCCCAGAGTCCAATTCCTAAAAAAAAAAAAAAAAAAAAAAAAGATTCTCATAGTCCTGATTTACCAGTTACCCATTTTGACTGAATATGATTTACATGTCACTCATTTGCGTCCTTTAATTTACTGTGGGTTTCCTAGTCCTGATTTACCAGTTACCCATTTTGATGAATATAATTTACTTGTCACTCATTTATGTCCTTTAATTTACTCTGGGTTTCCTACAGAGTTCAAGAAACCTACTATAGACATTTACAAAGTTGTCTTCCTTCAGTTCTTTAAATATTTTCTTTAATTTTTCTTTTTTTGATAAATTCTTCTTTGTTATCAAATTTTCTTTGTATTCTTAGTGGTTGATACTTTTGGTCATGCTTGATGTCATTGAAAACATCCTCTGGTTTAGTGGAATAAAAGTGTGTAATGGCTTTGTTGAGTTTCCCTGACCTTGTATTCGATTTAAAAAACTACTATCTCCATAAAGGGCACAAGATGGTGTAAAAGGCAAATATTTTGGCACATGCCTGCAATCCTAGCAGCTTGGGAGGCTGAGGCATGAGTATCTTGAGTTCAAAGCCAGCCTCAGCATCTTAGTGAGGCACTAAGCAACCTAGCAAGACCCTGTCTCTAAATAAAATATAAAAAGAGCCTAGGGATGTAGCTTAGCGGTTAAGTGCCCTGGGTTTAATCCCCTATACCAAAAAAAGAAAAAGTTATAGATGTTACTGAAAACAGGGTTTACTTGTGGTTTCTGATCCCTCCTAAAAATAACAGGCTTTATTAAAATATAATTCAGAAACTATAAAATTCACCTTTTAATGTGTATAATTGGGATCCTCTTACCTTTTGCACCTGTTGGTTTATCCCTTTGGTTGTTTAAATTATTACTTTTAACATTCTGAGGCTAGAGGCTGGGATTGTGGCTGAACGGTAGAGCACTTGCCTAGTACTCATTTACTCAACATCCCTGACCCCAGAGGCCCTGGGTTCGATCCTCAGCACTACATAAAAATAAATAAAATAATGGTCTTGTGTACAACTACAACTAAAAATTAAATATTAAAAAATGGGGGGCCAGGGGCTGGAGTTGTGGCTCAGTAGTAGAGCACTTGCCTAGCATGTGTGATGCACTGAGTTCAATTCTCAGGACCACATATAAATAAATTATAAAATAAAGATCCTTGGACAACCAAAATAATATATATTAAAAAATAAAACTCTGAGGCTAAGCCCTCTTAAAACTGGGATGATTTTGAAAAGAAGTATGCCTTATCCTTTTGAATTGTTCATTTTAAGATCTTTCCAAGTAGCACAGGCTCTCTTTGACCTTTTCAACAATTATGTTTTCTAGAAATGCACCCTCCTACTTCCTTTGGTTCCCTTTATACTTTCTAGATTTTTTTCAGCTGAAATATGTAAAGAAAGGGGATAGAAAAATTTGTTATTTTCCTCAGTCTTTGTGATTATTTTATTTTAGTTTTAATGGGAGATTGCACTAATGAAGAATATAATGAAGAGATATAAAATTCTGTTGCATCATGTTCCTTTTTTTCATAAGGAAATGGATGGCCTGACTTAATTGAGTTCAGCTGTTATAATTTGCACTGATAATATTGAGTATCTGTTTTAGGTTCTAATACATATGAAGAGGCAGCTGCTTACATCCAGTGCCAGTTTGAAGATCTGAACAGAAGAAAAGATACCAAGGAGATCTACACTCACTTCACCTGTGCCACAGACACCAAAAATGTGCAGTTTGTTTTTGATGCTGTTACAGATGTCATCATTAAAAACAACTTAAAGGAATGTGGACTTTATTGAAGAGGGTGGATGTTAGTAAAAGGTAAAAACATCATACAGTTTTGCTAAAGTGCTATAGTATAATCTCTTGGCTTTGTAAACTTTTTCTAATTAAGAATGTTCTTCTTTTCTAGCTACAGCAGTGTGGAGTGTTGAGACCAGACATCTTTTGCTGTCTCATGGGGCAGCTGCAAGCATGACGGGACCAGGGAATGGCAGAAGCATGCAGAATCTTAGCACTCTTTAGCACAATTTTCTGTATTAGGGAACTTTTAATTGACATGAGATACTCAAGTCAGACATTGGAATTGGGACAGCTGTAAAGCATGGTTTCATCATCAAGACATCACTTGGATTTTATAATCTTAAATTTTAGGGCAGATCTGAAGTTGAGGTGCTGCATTCCAGAACTTCAATATGTGGCTTACTTTTTTTTTCCCCCTTCTTAACAAATCACCAGTAATTCATTTCTGAAGTTTTTTTCATCAAGAGAATAACTCATTACTAAATTTTACTTCTTTATTTGCAAAAGAATCTTTATTAAAACACAGTCTTAACTATGCATATGTCACCAGATTATCTTGAAAATATTCCTCTTAATAGGAACTCTGTTTTTAATTCCTGGTGTGGTCAGAATATACATCAATAATTACTTAAAATTCTGTCCAGTTATAGGGGCTATAAATACAGCTTTTTTGAATGCAATATTATACTGTTGTGTTCAAAGTAAACTATGGTGGTTTCTAAATGGTAATTACATTGGAGAGGTCGGCAATATGATTCTAGCTCTCTTTTTTCTTTAAGCTTATGTGGTTGAAGGTTAACCTTGTTTTATGCTAATTACCAAATTACTAGGTACATGCTGATGTAGTATGATAAAGTCAGCTTCTTGGATATGGACACACCCAGGGCAGCTGTTAATTAAAAATATAAATTGCTAAATTCCAAACAGAACCAGTGACTTTGCTGCTACATATCTCTAAATTGACCACTTTGATATTCTTGCTTGTTTGTCTCAGTCATAGGGAGTTTTATATAAGGTGTCCCTTGTTTTCCATCTGTGGTCTTTTTTGTTGAGAGACATCTATAAAGTATCTTAACAGTGCATGCTTTTACTTTGTAAATGTGGTGCCAAATCCCTGTTTGCCATTGTTTTACTGAAGTAATGTTAAATGTAGTAATCCTTAGTAAGTTCTTTTACCCAAACTGTTGCATTTTAGGACTTTTCCACTTTGTCATATGTACAGATTTTAATCTGTTATAGTTGGCAGCAGTATTAAAATGGTGAGTAAAGAGTCCAGGTTTGCTCCTGTTTGTAACCAGTCTTTTTTCTGGAAGCATTGTCTTCTGTTTATTTTTACCACTGCTGAGTGTGCTTCGCCTTTGTCTGAGTGGGTTCAGGTAGAAGTGTTCCTTCATAGATTGTTCCCTTGGTGTAATAGTATTGTTGAATCTTGACTTTATGGATGAAGGTTATATGTCCTGTCTGTGTACAAGTAATATGCAGTCATAATCTGTCCTCCAGATTTGCATTTTGCTGGCATAGAGCTATATTTACTTTAGCCTAGAGGTCTTTTTTGTTTAATGTACAGCAAATGTCATTAAATACTGAGCAGACCATTTGAGAAAGGCAAATGAAGAGAATGCATTTTGGGCATTTCAAATCAGTAATTTGAGCAGTGCCTTTTGGGGTCCAATCATTTTTAATTGGATTCTGTTTCATCTTTTGCTGTGGCCTTATTCATTGAAGGTTGGTGGTTATCAAAGCCGCTTCAAAAAGCAAGCCATAGCAGTTCAGGGTCTTCAGTGGGAATTTTTTTTTTTAAACTTCTTATTCTTTTTGGAAAATCATAACTAAGCAGATGGTATAGCTGTATTATGAAACACAGTTTTCATTAGGTGTAGAAAACTTGATCTGAAAGAAAATTATTAGCTTCAATTGGTGTTTGACTTAATGTAAATATGGGTTGATAGGTCTAACTCGTTTTAAATATTTCCTTTCCTTACTGTATTCTTCTGTAATATAGGATCATTTAGTAATTAGTACCAGTGAAATACTCTTTTTGTAGTTTTTCTATACTCTGGGTTTAATGGAATGGTATTGTTGAAAATCTAAAATAATAGATAATCCAAAGTTAATTTTACTTTGAAATGCATTTTGTATTTTCATTTGAATGTCTATCTGATGGGTGTTTTTTTTTTTTAAGCCCTTCTATTAACAAAAATAGTCCTCCACTTTTCTGTCTTGACAACAGTCTCTATTTGCTTGAAGATCATTCCTACCATACCATCTCAAGTAACTTATCTAAATATACATCCCTTGAGGATAGATGAGAGGCAGTTTAAGCCAGCGGTTTTCAAGTATGACTTGAGTCAAAATTACCTGGACATATCTGAAAAGATTGAATTTTGTCTGGTAGAGTAGTAATTTGTAACTTTCAAAAGATGATTCTTATCAGCTAGGCATTCAAATTACTAATTAATATTTTGAAATAAAAGATCTTTTCTTACAACAGAGCCAAAAATGTGGGGGAAACATCACATCTACTAGCCTGGACAGAGATTGCAATTTTTAATCAGAGAAGTTAAAAGTTACTCTCCTCCTCAACCCGGAATGCTAGAGATTTGTAATGGATAATGTTTCTGAATTTGGGTGACCAGACTTTTGGGCCATCTAAGAAGTTGGCATAATTAAGAAAATTAAAGTTTGAACCATAAATACACCCTGGAGGGCTGGGGTTGTGGCTCAGTGGTAGAGCACTTGCCTAGTATGTGTGAAACACTGGGTTCAATCCCCAGCATCACATTAAAAATATAATAAATAAATAAAGATATTGTGTCCATCAACAACTAAAAAATATATTTCTTAATAAGAACACCCTGGAAGGAAGGATTGCAACAATAATTTTGTGGATAGCCACTTCTTCTCCTGATTAAACATTGGACAGAGAGATGCATTCTTCTTGATGGACAGGCCTCCCTAAACTTACAAATTCAAGCTTAGATTGATTCCACCTCCTGGAATGAAAATTCCAATGCCCATTATTCATCAGTAGGTAATGATGATATTTTCATCTTGGGACAGTTCAGATTCTAAATTTCTAGTTCAGTATAGCATTTTATTATTTTTTCTGGTAGACTTGGGACAGTTCAGATTCTAAATTTCTAGTTCAGTATAGCATTTTATTATTTTTTCTGGTAGACTGTTATTTTTCACAAGGTATTATAATCATAGGTGAAACAAAATTTTTAAAACTTTGTTTTTTTTATGTTCACATGTGTTCATATGTTACATGTGCATTTTTAGACTAAAAAACCTGTTAGAAAATTCTAAGTTATTACTCACCCTGTATTCTTTTTTTGGGCAGGGGCTGGGATGGGAAGGTACCAGAGATTGAACTCCTGGGCACTTGATCACAGAGCCACATCCCCAGCCCTATTTTGTATTTTATTTAGAGAGAGGGTTTTACTGGGTTTTTTAGTGTCTCACTTTTGCTGAGGCTGGCTTTGAACCCATGATCCTCCTGCCTCCGCCTCCTGAGCCTCTGGGATTACAGGCATGCGCCACTGCTTCTGGCAGTCCTATATTCTTATATCCTGGTCACTATTCTCCTGTTTTGACTGAGACTTATTTTGGACTTTGCTTTCATGGCCTGATTAGTCACTTCATGTGTTTCTCCATTTGTTTAACCTGTGTGACATAGTTCTGGAATTTCATGTTGCAGAAGTCCTTGTATTGCAGTTACATGTAAGTTTAAGTTCATCTTTCCTTTCAGTTAAAAACCTGCCCTTGATTTTTTTCTCCCTTTTCAGTTGTTAAACAATAACAACAAAGTCCTCTCAGCAGCACTGATTTCCTTCAGTGTTACTACTTGTGGAATCCTTTTCCTTTGCTATGTAATGCTTTAAGAACAAAGTTATCTTAATTTACCAGTGCTACCAGGTAATCATTGGGTTCTATTTCAGACTTCATAATACAAATCAGATCTGACCTGAACAGGCACAGCTCTCCACACAGCTTTATGACCATCATATTTTGTTATATAGTTCTTGTAATCACAAGAGCAAAAAGTTGGTTGTCTAGAAGTCTGAAATTGATGTTGGTTTTTCTGCCAGCTATCTGGGAGTAAAAAGGTTTTTTGAGGCAGTAAGGAAGTAACTTCTAGGTCAAGGTCTTTGTTCCCTTATCTTTGTATAGCTTTTAAAAGTTTCCCCCCAATTTTGTCATTGCCTTTTATGAGTTACTTCTGCTGAGGATACATACTTTAGAACTAGTAAAGGCAGAGCAGTTATTTTCTTTTTGTGTGGTGCTGGGGTTTGAACCCAGGGCTTTGTACATGTAGGTAAGTGCTCTACATGTGTTGAGCTACACCTCCGGCCCTTTTTATTTTTTATTTTGAGGCAGGGTCTTACTAAGTTGCCTAGCCTGGCCTTGAACTTTTTATCCTCCTGCCTCAATCTCTGGAGTAGCTGGCATTACAGGTGTGCACCAGAACAGATTTTTTTTTTTTAATTTTTATTTTTTTTCAGTTTTAGAGATTGAACCCAAGGATGCCTGTCATTGAGTTATATCCCAAATCCTTTTTTAAATTTTATTTTTGAGGGTCTCATTAAGTTACTGTGGATGGCCTTAAACTTTTGATTCTTCTGCTTCAGTCTCCTTAGTGTCTGGGTTAAAGATCAGCACAAATGTTAAACAGTAGTACATGGATAACCTTAATTAAAATTACTAGTGAAGTGACTTGAGTTAATTTCTATTTGCCAATAAGAAGTACTTTTTGTACTTAAAGTGCCTTCCAACAGAAAAATTAATCTGAGGACTGGTTGTGAAAGACATTCCTACAATGTAGATACAGAGAATTTAGTTTTTATACAAAATTAAAACAAGAAACCAGTATCTGAACATTTTTATTTCATTTATTTCATGGCATTTATTATGCAGTAAAGATTGAAAGATGTACATCACATTAAAGACAAGAAAATTCTGTATCAGAGGTGATTATTTGTAATAATATGAATAGTCAGAGTTGGTGAAATAAAGCAGCACTGGCTAGCTCTAAACTATTGATGGGTCAAATGTAAAAAGTCTTTGTCCAGTAGTAATGTTTTCTTTTCCTGAAATCTAATGGTAATCATAAGATGGCAGAAATAATCAAATATTAAAATATGCTGTGGGATATACTATCTAAATATATTAGCCATTCAGTAACTAAACTGTTAAAATCTTTGATAGCTGGAATATTAATTCTGTACAACCTGGTTAATTGTCTGCTCGTAGCCTCTGCCTCTGACCTTAATATTCAGAATATCCAGAATAACCCCAAAGACTTTTATATGCAAGAGAGATTCCCAGTAGTTAGAATACAAGAAGTTACCTGTTCTTTCTGTTTATCCTTGTTCATCTAGGATAAAGGTGCAGAAACCTCTGAAAGTCTCGTGAGATTGAAAGTTGTTCGGAGTGATGAGTTCTTGTCCTTTTTCTGCTATTTGCCATGAAACCTTGCATAGGTTACTTTTAGTCATATCACTCATCTGTTCTCTAAAGATGGACTAGACTAAATTATTCCTTCCTGCTATAATCTGAGGTTCTGATCAAATGGAAATAATATATTTGAAGATGTTTTATAATGTTCTTTGTGATACTCAGGATTATACTGTACTGCAGAAAAGTTAACATCCTGTGGCAGCACCAACAAATGTATTCATTGTAGCTGGCGGTCTTTTTGTAGCATTTCCCTCATAGTCATTCTGAAGACCTGAAATGAAGGTGAACTATAAATTACCCTAAATTCGTGAGGCAGGGTGAAAAGTTGGGTTGCTTTGTTTTACATATCAATCAATCCTTTCTTTTCTGTTCATACTGGTGCTTACTTTTTCATAACCAAAAGGCAGAAAAGTTCCCTCCCACAGTCTCCAATGTGTCTGTCTGACCTCACAGAAACGTCTTCACATATTACAGAGCAGGACCACCAGAGGCTTTGGCACACTTGCAGTCCCTCGCCCAACATGGAAGTCCTGCTGGAAACTGTGCTGCGGGGGCTGTGCCGGGTAGAGAGGGCAGTGGGAGGTAAGAGCTCTCACCCTTCACCACCTTCTCCACCCAGCATGGCCAGCACACTTTGGTCTACGGCATATCTCCAAGTAGAGAATGGGCTTTGAATGCTGTTGTTACCTTGGGGATGGGGGATAATACTCTGATTTGGACTATTTGGTGGGGGGAACAACATGAATTTTATCATCAGAATAGGAATTGTTACAAGTAAATGTGTCTTTTATATTACTTTTAAGACTGAATTATTGTGTTTCTTTTATCCACTGTTCCTTTATTCACAGAAAACAAAAGCACACTTCTGTCTCTTCCATTTTTTAAATTTAAAAATTCAGTATTTTAAATTTTCTTTTTCATGTTAAGTATATGTAACATCCAATTTACCATTTAAATCATTTTTAAGTATATAAAAAATATACCTTCCATCTCCAGAATTTTTTTTCATTTTGATTTAAAACTCTACGTGTTTCCCACCTCTCAACCCCTCTCTTTGAATTTTAGGTAATTCACATAAGTGGAATCATGTAATATTTGTCTTTTTGTGTCAATTGTATTGTATTTTGTTAAGATGGAGAAACTATCATTAGATATATGTGAAATGTAGCCTAATTTATATTTGGTTTATTGTCATTAGAGTCTGTGGTAGGGAAGAATGTTATGGTGTCTGCCTCTAAGGATATGAACAGAAGATTATGCCTTCAACAGACAAATTTGTTTATATTTTTGTGATTTTTTTTTTTTTTTTTTACTAATTTCATATTCCGTTTGGGGACCTCTGCTTCTTAGTTTTCAGATGGTTTTGTTAAATATCAATGATTTGGAGGTGGCCTAACTAAAAGTTAACTAAGACTTTGTTGAGAGTAGTTTAGAAGAATGGGAAATTGATTTTATAGTATATGATAGGCTATTGGTGGCAATGTCTGTAGAAGGACCACTTGCTTTGGATTCAGAAGAGCAATTAGAGTTCAAGTTCTACTTGCTAGCAGTGTGGATCTTGATAAGGACACATTGCCTCTCCAGGCCTGAACTTCATACCTATAAATTGCTAATAATGGGCCCAGAATATTTTTTTAAGTTCCTTCTTACTTTAGCATTCTAAGAATTAAGGTTGCAGTGTAAGAAAATAGGGTTGAATCTATGTCTATGAGTTTGTTACAGAAAATAATTTCAGATGGCTTGTAAAGAAAGGTATGTAAAATTCAGTACTGTACATGTAAATTTAAAATGAGGCAAAAGAAGAATAATGATAGACTATATGGCATAGATTTAGTTTGAGCTTTCTTAATAGCCATTTTATGCAAAAGAAAAAAACTTTTCATGCACACAAAGGGTCCATGAGATAAAAATTAGCCATTTATGTAGAAGTACAAATGCATTTTCTCCAGTTTTACATAGTACAAGGTTTGGGAATGATGTCTGGGCTTGATGACTTAAGCTGGGATAAGAGGTTAATTTTCTTTGTTTGGGGAAGCTTATTGAAAATATTGAAGAAGCCCTCTTACCTTTACTTGGAGGAGAGCCCATTCTGGGCCAGGAGTTTCAGACTTTTTGTTTTACTTGGTTTTAAAGTATAGGTGAAAGGGGGTACCCAGGGCAGCAAAATTTTATTTTGTGTATACTCATTAAAGTAGTTTTAACTTGAAAACATTCTAAGAGGGGCTGGGAATGTGGCTCAAGTGGTAGCGCGCTCGCCTGGCATGTGTGCAGCCCGGGTTCGATCCTCAGCACCACATATAAACAAAGATGTTGTGTCCGCCGAAAACTAAAAAATAAATATTAAAATTCTCTCTCTCTCTCTCTCTCTCTCTCTCTTTCTTTCTCTCTCAAAAAAAAGAAAGAAAACATTCTAAGATAAATGTAACCAGATCGTGTCAACAGTTGTGGGACTCTTGCTTTAAGAACTGCTCTTTCTCCCTCATCCTCCACTCTTTGTGAATTTGTTTATAAAGCAGTTAAAAGTTTGAATATCTGTCAGAAAAGAGAACTAAAATAACAATCCTGTTTCATTCTGCAAGAGGTGTTTTAATTGTTCTTCCAGAAGACTTGTTCTACTGGCCCAGCTTCCATACTGGTATTGGAGAGAAGGTTCTATATGAACATTAATAACCAAGCAACTTGATTTAGACTTCTGTAATTTGACTCATAATCTATTTCTTCATAGAGCCAAGGATGAAGGAAAAGCTAATAAGAAGCAGCTGGGGCTGGGGTTGAGCACAGTGGTAGAGTACTTGCCTCGCAGGCATAAGGCACTGGGTTTGATCCTCAGCACCACATAAAAATAAATAAATGAAATTTGTTTCCATCTACAACTAAGAAAATTAAAAATTTATCATAGATTTAAGCAACCATAAGAAAATACCATAGACAACATTTTGTCTATAATTGAACACTTAAAAAAAAAAAAAAAAAGGAAGAAGCAGCAGCTAACAGGCTGGCACAATTAAAATGAAAATCTGCTCTGTGCCAGAAATACCCATTCACACTTAGGCTGGGGAAGTGCGGCCATACTCTATAGAAGTGGAATAAATGGTATAAATTACGTTGTGGGCCTGAATAGACAAGATCATAGTTAAGGGTTCTTTAACCTGAGGCTTCAGAGATCCAGCGATTCTATGCATAGACTGTATTTAGTATGTTAGTTTCTTTTGTAATTCTCAAGTGTTTTATGTATTTAAAAATACTCTGAGCTGGGTGCTATGGCTCATATATGTAGTCTCAGCTACTTAGGAGGCTGAGGCAGGACAATCATTTGAGCCAGTGAGTGGGAGGCCAGCCTGGGCAACATAGTGAGACCTCATTTCAGACAAACAAACAAAATATATTCTGTTAAGAGGTCCATAGGTTTCATCATAACTGCCAGAGGGATCCATAATAACAAAACAGACTCAAAAATCCTTGCTTAAGTTTTTTAATTGTCAGTAGATATAGCCAGATTAGTTTTTCCTGTAATTTTCCTCATGAGTTGTTTTTAAAGGAAATCAGAAAGACTTAATTGGATTCAATTTTAACAGCTGCAGATTTATTCTTCATTGTATATCAAGCCTTATATGCCTCTCTAGTATTAATATTGATAGTAGCAGCCTAAGTGTGAATGGGTGTTTCTGGCACAGAGCAGATTTTCATTTAATTGACTCTTTCTTTTATATGTTAAATCTTGGTTGCCAAGAGCTTTTCTCACTAGGAGTTGTAAATGCTAAATCTATACTTGACTTCACCACCTCCTGTCAAGATAAATGCAAGCTTTGTTTCCTCTCAAAGGAGTTCAAAGGAATAATTTACTCCTTGGTGGGTTTGGGGAAATATTGTTCTCAGCCAGTATCACATGAACCTAACAGCAAAGATTTCCAGTGCCTAAAGCAAGCTCAGCTGCCTTTTTGTTCTCCTGAAACAAGCAGCAGTTGAAATGAGAAATTAAAAATTGCTCACTTCTAAATTCTATGATAGAGAAATGGCAGCAATAAAATTATCTTAAGTGGGAGTATGTTGATGTCCTCCAAGTTTAGTCATAAAGTATCTTATATAGCTCAACATCATTAATACAGATACAGGAAACAGTCTTTTTGGCAGCCTGAGGGCAGAGAGATAAGCTGTGCTTATTAAAGATAATCATTTTTGGATGTATGCCTTAGAAACTAAAAAACTCACATTTCTTACCCAGCGATCTGTATCTTTGAGCTAAGGCACATAGAGATCTATTAGTAAAAAAGGGGCTGGTAGGTTTATTCAAGTTTTGTATTAAATAGTTTTTTGGTGGACTGTAGGGCAGGCTTGCTGTTTTACTTGGGGTAGTTTGTTGAGATAGTTTATTTTAAAAGCCAGATGGTGAATTTCACAAATTTTGCAGATTTATATGGGCTTGCTTTTTGTGATTAACCATAGCAGCTTTTATGTGCCTTCCCTTCAGTTATGTTTGTGCTGCTCAGAGTAACCCTGTGAAATAGGTTTCGAAGTTAGCTTCTTTTTATAGATGAGAGATTTGAAGCCTAGAGAAACGAAGAGTTCATAGTATTCAATTCTTTAAGTAGAGTCAGTCCTGAATCCTGGATGTTATGAGTCCTAGCCTTGCACTCTTTAAATTGCACCAGCTATCCCACTTTAAAAAGATAATGCAAGATACTGTTGTAAGTCTGCATCATTCTCCGTATCCATTGGAGAATGGATTCATTTTTCATGTTATAGTATTTTGACCCATAATTTTCTGCTTAAAATTACCCAGATTCCAAGCCTGTTTACAGAACGTATACCTGAGAACAGGTGAAGATTAGAAGAGCCCGCAGTCCTTGAGGTTTTCTTTGATGATGATATCTGTAACTGCATCAAACACAAATTTGACATTCTGTGTATCTGTAGCACAGGTCATGTGACTGTAGATTTCTTTGACATCTTTTCGCATATTGAGGTCAAGGAACTGGTTCTTGATATAATTCCCCGCATCCTCAAAGGAGTTGTTCCCTGGTTTTCCAGAAAAATAGTAAAGAAGTGGGCTGAATAAACCCTTGTCTATTGCTTGTTCACTTTTTAGGTGGCCAATTTGATCCTTAAAATGTTGTATTAGACAAATACAGTTGGGGGCCTGTTTTTGGAACAGGGGTTCAGCCTATTGTCATCCAGTGTTTCTCACTTGAGTAGACCAAGGAAATTGAGGAGGGAAGTATCTCTGTGTCTCTACCTTTGGTTTCTGGTAGGTATCCTTTGAACAGTCAGTGCTCTCATGCATCTAAAATTTGCTGTATTTCAGGCACATCTTTATTTTAAACCTCTAACTAAATGCCCAAGCTTCCCGAGACAAGGTCCTTTATATCTCCTTAGCATAGGGAATGAGGCAGTTAGTTGCTAGTTACTACAAAAAGGTGTCACTGTTGTCTGGAGCCCTTGACACTTACCTTCATACTCTGGAAAACAAATACTGAGATGGACTTTCTTGATTTTTTCCTCAAAAAGATCTTTCTTGTTGAGAAAGAGCACAATGGAAGTAGCCGCAAAGAACTTGTGGTTACATATGCTGTTGAACAGATGCAAAGACTCATGCATACGATTCTAGTAAGAGGAAACACCATTGAAGATATCAGATTGGGTTTATGGGTTGGTTGTTTGCTTTCATTTTTGTTGCCCTTAGATAACCAGTACTCGAAATGTAAAAGGATAGATACAGGAACAATCTTTCTCTTTTTAATGTGGAGTAAAGCCAACATATCTGGGTTCCTTCTAACCTCATTTCTATCATTTTAATAGCTGTATAACTTGGGGAAATTATTGAGTTTCTCTTGAGTCTCAGTTCCCTTATACTGTTATCATGAAAGTTAAATGAGGGCATATATAATGGTATCTGTATAGTGGCTAGCATATAGGTATACAATAAATGTTATGCACCTCTTTGGCAGCCAGGACACCAGCAAGGACTTCAACATCCACAAATACTGCCAATAATAGGGTCCTAGATCTCAAGTTTGGACAGGAACATGACAGGTATACTTTGGTTCTAGTGCCACATGATGAAGGCTAGAGAACTTCCCAATGCACACCACAAGCACTTCTGCTCTTTTTATTTTCTTCTGTGATTGCTACTCTGAAAGAGTGAGAGGTGGTGCTATATATGTGCAGAGTCTGCAGATTGCCCACACTAGCCTGCATGTAGGAGACAGGCCTTTAGGGACCTGAAGTAGGTTGATACCTGACTTGAGCTCAGTCATCTAATAAAGCAAAAAAGATCAAATTTGTAGCATTATCTCACTCTTACTACTCCTACAAAATTCTTTAAAAACCTCAGAAATCAAGGTTAAAGATAGAAGAGACGTTAGAAACTGAATAGTGTTGTAAAATATTTTGGCTGAAGATGTAGAGTGTTCTAATGTGAACTTGAGCTTCTAAGGGGAATGGAAAAGACCTGAAGCCGAAGTGAGGAATAGGAGGATAGAATATTTTCAATGAGTAGGTTGCTGGCTTCCATTTGTGAAGCAGATGTTTATGTGAAATTAGTGTTTTCAACACCTTTGACATCCTTTATCTGTCTTATACTCAGAGAATGTAACTGCCCAGGATCTGATACTTGTCCTGCAGTACTCTTACAGAACTTCACAGGTTGAAGGAAACCACCTCAGGTGGTTCCCCAGCGGTCAGTTAAGTTGGCAAGTGAGAAACCCAGTCTACTAGTGTCACCTTACTTCTGTTGATACACAGTACATTTCTAGGCTTCTGAAGTGAGGTTAGTAGCTCAACATCTCTATCTGGGAGATTTATACCCCTTACCTTGTTTTTTTAAAAAAAATACTGAAATCCTCTGGTGAGCTTTGTGATAGTTAAGTAATACTTTGATGTCTAATCTGAGACAATCTCATTCTTAGTAAATCTAGAGCTCTAAAGTATTAACCTAGAACCTGCAGAAGAGGTATTTTAGAATTGCTTACATGAAACATTCATTGGTCTGCGAGAGGTCAGCTAGATTGTTAGAGTTCCCTGAAGTCACTCAGTTTGGGGCATTGGGATGACACAAGCTTAGAGAAAGGGTTATGGCAAAAATTTGTCCTACTAAAGCTGTTTGGTTGAAAGGTCACTTACCACTTCATCATCTTCCACCAGTACCATGTCGTAGGCACTGAGCGCTGCACAGAAGATGATGCAGGTGACACCCTCAAAGCAGTGGATCCACTTCTTTCTCTCAGATCTCTGCCCTCCCACATCAAACATCCTGTGGGAGAAAGCAGATGTTCATAGGTATGCCCAGAATATAACCCACATGCCTTTGGTGTTAATCCCCCAAAGTGGCTACTTTGGGGTCAGTTAGCAGCAAAATGAGAAGTAGAAAGGAAAAGGGAAAGAAGTAGGACAGTAATTTAGATTGGGTTTCAGCAAAGGCCTAGAAGCATGCCCATGTCCCTTTTTAGGATTACACATGTGTATCTGAGATGCCCCAGGGAATCATGTACTCACCTGAAATTCAAGTCTTTGACAGAAAACTTGGTTTCAATAATGCCTGTAGTTTTCACTCTAGATCTCAAAACATCTTGCTCATTAGGAATGTAGTTGGGGTCTGTAATCCTGTCCAGTTGGTTCAGGTAGCTAGAGAAAAGTGGTTTGTATTGATAACATTACATTCTCCACAACCAAGGTGAAGAAACGTAAAGCATCTTGCCCACAGTCACACAAGTAATATGATGATGGAAACAGAACTGGAATCCATATGAATTAAATCTAGGATTCTTTCTTTCAAACCATTATGTGTCCTTCAAAAAAAAAAAAAAAAGTAAGCAATGGGCTAAGGGACTGCCCATTTGAGGCAGGAGTTCCATCCAATTTAAATCAAATCAGATTAAGTTATCCTTGGATTTTTTTTTTTTTTTTTGCATGAGTGCAAGCTTTTCTAGACTGAATGAGATTGACTGGTTTAAATGGGGTAACCATAGTTCCATCATGAGGCAAGAGTAGACTGAAAGAAACTAGAGACACAAGACATGAAGGCAATACATAGACTTCATCCTGAATCATGTTGGGGGAAAATCATTTGAGCTAATAGGGGAAAATTGAACACTGATTTGGATATTAATTATATTAAGGTATTATTAAATATTGTGATGTGATATTGTGCTTTTCTTTTTAAAAAATCCTTATATTTTAGAAATAGTTTATAGGATGAAATAATATCTGAGATTTGCCTTAAAATATTCTAGTGAAGACAGTGCAGTGGCACATACCTATTATCCCAGCTACTCAGGAGGATGAGGGAGAAGGATTACAAATTTGAGGTCAGCCTGGGCGATTTCAATAGACTCTGTCTCAAAAAAGGGTTAAGGATATAGCTTGGAGAACTTCTGGATTCAATCCCCTGTACTGCAAAAATAAGTAACTGAGTGTAGGGGTAAATGAAGAGTTGACCATGAATTAACTATTGAAACTAGGTGACTCATTATTTTAGTCTACTTTTGTATATCTTTGAAAATTGGCATGAAAAGTAAGAGTTTTTTAAAAAGGAGAGGAAGCTTGGTGCAATGGAGCATGCCTGTATTCCCAGTGGCTCAGGAGGCTGAGACAGAAGGATCAAAAGTTCAAAGTCATCCCTAGCCACTCAGCAAGGCCCTAAGCAACTTAGCAAGACCCTCCCTGTCTCTAAATAAAATACAAAAAACAGGTTGGGGATGTGGCTCAGTGGTTGAATGCCTCTGAGTTCAATCCCCAGTACCAAAAACAAAAAAAGAAAAGATAGGAAGAAGGCAGATGTGAAATGAAATGACTGAGATAAACAGGGAACGAAAATTAACACTAATGCCTAATGTATGCCAGGTATTTTAACTTTAAAATTCTCATTGAACCTCATACACCTTCAAGATGAATATTCCCATTTTATAATTAAAGGGAAAATTTAAAGAGTTAAATAACTTGCCTGAGATCAAAAGACTTTGTGGTATGCTGTAAGAAAGTTTTGTGGTCAAGCTGAACTGAATGCAAATCTAGCCTCTGATAGTTACATATGTGACCTCACTGAAATGGTTTTTCATTTATAAACTAGGACTAGTAAAAAGTATTATCTACCTGAAGGCTTATCGTGTAGATGTGTAAAGGATCTCAAGACAGTACACATGGTACAGCTAGCAGGGACTGTGCCTTGGAAAGGGAGCAATCTAGAGAGAGTAAATGATCCAAACAGGAATTTAATGCAGGTCTGTTTAATTGCAAAATTCATGCCCATCTATGACATCTGTTACAGACACACTTGATAACTCAGTCTCTGTCTGTGTCTTTTGGAAGCAGCTTTGCAAAGTTGCTAGTCTCTGATTCCTGATCACCTTCTTTTGGTTTGCCCTGGTGGTTTCTAAGTCCCCTGCCCTAATATTCTGACATAGATGCTATGGTGAAGGAAACTTTGATTCCTGCTTGGTTATCTAGTAGAGCCTGAGTAAACCAACTTGAAAAATCAACCCTGAAAGAGCCTTCAATGCATTACATGTCTCCTGAGAGAGTGTGTGGCAGAACCACAGAGCTATCTTTTGATTCTGAAGGAAGAGGCTAAGTGTTCAACTTAAAAGAACAGAGCTGAGGGCTACTAGGCAGAGCACCTCTGTTTTGAATTTTGTCTCTTCTGCTTTGTAGCCAGTGTGTGGTAATGCAGAGTGGTGGGAACTGGCAGATACCTGTGTGGCATTAAATTTATTGTGTGGGTCTCCAGCTTTCTATGCCAGAAATTTAAGGCAATCCTGGAAGATTGCCTGAGCATCATCCTGCCTCCTCCCCAGTCAGAATCTTACTAGGATGCTGAGTCATTGAGCTGATATTCTGCAGCTCTTTCGAAGCAAGCTTGAACTCCACCATCCTTCCACAACTTTCTGATGACCTCCACCAGCTCAGGAGGCATGGTCCCCTCCTCAATGGAGTCGGCCAGGTTATTGAGCTGTCGCCCATCATCCTGTAACACAGAAACCTGGCTGAGAATGACATGAGCAATGGCTTTCCAGGAACACTGCTGAATGGAAAGCATTTTGCACTGCCACCAGTGGTTAAATGTGGCAGTCTCCAGTTAAAGCACCCTTTAACTTTTAAATGTGCTCCTCAGATGTAGAGTAGGCAATATATCCAGCCCTGGGATGCCTATAGGATAGCTGAGATCAGAGGTGGTGCTTCTCTGTTATTCCCAGCTTCTATCCTTAGTCTGAAAGTGGACTGCCACAAAATGTGTGTCTTTTCCTGTAGGGAGACTGGAAGTTTAAAGGCTACATTGACCATGAAATAAGATGGAAGATAGGCCTTTGCTTTTTCAATGGTTTAAATTTAGGAAAAGGCTCATACTAGAACTAGGGGTTTAGCTTCTAAAAGTTTCATGACTAGGGCAAGAAGAGCAATTTAAATGGTAAAAAAAAAAGACAAAAAGGGAGAAGAAGCCGGGCGCAGTGTGCATACTTGTAAATCCCAGCAACTCAGAAGGCTGAGCCAGGAGGATTGAGAGTTCAAAGCCAGCCTCAGCAACAGAGTTACTAAGCAACTCAGTGAAACCCTGTCTCTAAATAAAATACAAGAAAGGGTTGGGGATGTGGCTCAGTGATTGAGTACCCCTGAGTTCAATCCCTGGTACCAAAAGAAAAAAAAAGTAGGGGTGGGGAGAAGCTGAGAACAATTTTATAAATATAAAAATGAGGTTTGCTTACTTCTCTGGACTAGGATTTAAAATTTGGCATATGGGATTTTAGTTAAACAAGTTTTTTTCTTACCCAATTTCCCTCATTGTTTGTTGGTCTTTTGTGTGTGTGTGTGTTCTTTTTTTTTCATTAGCCTTTCTTGCTTCCACCCTTAACCACATAAGATTAATCTCGTACCGCGCAGCTTGGTTCAGCATAGTCAATGCCCAGTGTGGACATAGCCCGGATGATAGCCAGGATGGACTGTAACACATTCCCATAGATGACAGTCTTGAACTCCAGGCATTCTTCTGCTGTATACCCATCCTGGTGAATGATCCTTCAAGAGGCAGACACCCAGCTTTTAAATAACCAGACCTAAGGGATTGGGAATCTAGGGGGACTTAAAAGGTCATAAGAACCCCATCTCTCTAGTTCTGCTATCCCAAAGTGCAGAGTGGGAATCAGGTTTTTATACTCAGTTTCCATGAGGCTGAAGAGCCTTTCACTCTGAGTACCTCCACTGGTTCCTCTGAGTACTTCCCCCAACCACAGTCCTTTGGGGCTTTGTTCCTACTCACTTCATCTGCTTGACGATAGTGCTCTTTCCTGACTCCCCAGCACCTGGAAGGAGAAATGCTTATGCTTCCAGTTTCCACCAGTTCTCCCCAACATTCCAGTAGATGGTCTGTGAGGAGTCAGAGCCATTGCTTGCTTGGGAGCCTTGTAAGGGGAGAATTTGTTAGAGGAATGATTGCTGCCCTCAATTTCTGTCTCCTTGAGCTCAGGCCATTTGCCCTGGGTTGAGAGCAGAATTTCTCAACTTCAGCACTTATTTACATTTTGGGCTAGATTTTCTTTTAGTGGGTACTGCCCTGTGCATTGCAGGATATTTAGCAGCACTCCTAGCCTCTACTCACTACAGATCAGCAGCATCCCATTCTTTAGTTGTGACAACCAAAAATGGCTCCAGATACTCCCCAAATGTCTCCTGAGGGTCAAAAACCTCCCATTGAAAACCACTAATTGATTCAGGGGAATTCCTTGGACACATTTTTTCACTGTTTTTGACTCAGGTAAGTAATCTTGAGTAGGACTGGAGAAAGCTAGGCCTCTTTACTGGAATTTTTTTTTCTCTATGGTTCCCTTTATTGACTAAAATATCCTAATATTTTATTCTCTATGGTTCCCTTTATTGACTAAAATATCCTAATGCTCTCCTTCTCTTTCCACTTCAAAAATTCACCTTCTGGGCAAACAGAATCAAATGATTATTGGCAGAGGGGAAAAAGTAGCATTCTGTTCTAAAAACATTCAATAAAATAATATCCACATTTTTGTTTTCTCAAACATCTAGGCAATTGCTCAGATCCTAAATACAGACGAGTTTTGCATTTCACAATGTACCTTTCATTCTACATAGATTTGTAGCAAAATAAACACCATACATGTAGTTAAAAAAAAAAAATTCACCTTCTGGGCTGGGATTGTGGCTCAGCGGTAGAGTGCTCACCTAGCACGTGTGGGGCCCAGGGTTAGATCCTCAGCACCACAAAAAAAATAAATGAAATAAAGGTATTGTGCTCAACTACAAATAAAAAATAAATATTAAAAAAACATCACATTCTGGGCTGGGGATATAGCTTAGTTGGTAGAGTTCTTGCCTTGCATGCATAAGGCCCTGGGTTCAATCCCCAGCACCACACACAAAAAATTCACATTCCCTATGACCCTCCTTTACTCCATGCTACCCTGATCCCTCAACCTCCTACCACTTAGCCTGTACTGGTTCCCTCTAAGCTGCTTATTCTGAACCTAGAATTTGCTTTAAGCTTAAAATGTCTTTCAGTGGCCCCACCACCTCCATTTCCCCTTGTGTAACTTCTGAGCTTCTCGGAACCTGGGTTGAGCTTATAGAGATGCTCCTCTAGTGTGTCCTTAGGCTGTGCCACAGTAGGCTGAGAAAAGGACTTGCTTTAGCTTGCTGCTTCAATTCCCAGGCTCCTTATGAGCTTGGAAACCCAGCCCAGGTATCCAGGCCCCACTTGCTCTAGCTAGCCTACTCCTGTGGTACTACTGGTGCTTTTTTGTTTTGTTGGTTTTTTTTCCTTAAGCCTGTTGTCAAATTTTCTTGTCTTGGTTCTATTTATGGTCATGAACAATTTCCCTGACTGACCCACTGAGATGCTTTTATTTTCTCAGTACAGACCAGTGATCTGCTTAGGAGCTCATCAAGTTGATGAACCTCCCATCTGTCGGGGGTTTTAGAGGCAGTTACCTAATAGAAAACAGGAGGGGACTTCTTTGGATAAAGATCCCATTCCTCCCACATCAGGATTCCCTACTTCCAATTTTTTACTGAAAGCCAGAAGGAACCAGTGTACTTGGCAAGAACCAGTGGATCTATGCCCGGGACTATGTAGGAGGATTGTATGGCAGAACTGCTGAATCCATTGGTAAGGGAAGGTCCTGTCTGATTCTTTGAACCAGAGTTCTCTCACTGCAGATTGGGTAAGTGTCTGCAAGGTTAGGGTTCTTGGAATTGCAAAATCGAAATGAAGTGCTACATTTGGAGATGGTGGGTTTAACCTCACTCTTGGATTATTACTAGTTCAAGGAAGAAGAGAAAAATTCCAGTAGCTTTGGTTCCCTTGGAGTGGCTATATAGACTTCACATAAATGGCCCTAGAGCTCCCTAACTCCTAGCTTGAGACTGGATAGGGAAGAGGGAAACTGGCCTGCCCTCCCTCCTCCCTTGGGGTGGGCTGAAATACCTGCCCTCCAGGAAAACAGGAAGAAGCATTACCTTCCCCCTTCTCTGGCTCTTCTTTGCCTCTCACTCACCCAGCAATAGCAGCTTGACAGTCTTTGCTTCCTTGTCAGCATCCTCCTGCAGCTTCTTTTCTAGCTCCTTGGACCTCTTGGCCAGTTCTTTGTCCTCAGTACTGGCTCCACTCCCCATCTCTGCTGTTCCCTCCTCAGCTATGTCCTTGGCTTCTAGGCTTCTCCTGTAAACTTTCCTATATGTGAGATGGAAGAAAAGGAAAAACTAAGTCCAGATGGAGTATCGATCTCTTGCTTCCCTAAAATTGATTTACATGAGGCTGGGTAACAGAGTGGGCTATAGGTTGTTGTACCCTGCCTCCCCTGGTTGAGACTCCCTACCCCAACTGGACACCTTCGTCTTAGTCTAGGGATTGTAGTCTTTATGTCTAGCAATGTGATGGGTCAAGCCAATTAAGAGCTTTGCCAATAAGCAAAGGGCAAAGACTCAATCAAAGGTTCTGTAATGAGAGAAGTGATTCAGATTCTGACACAGGAGGGAAGGGTACAGGTAGGTACTGGAGCTCTTTGGAATGAAATATGCCCACCTCCATCCTTTTGTGAATCTCGTCTCCTGAAAGCCACCTGCACCCTTGGAATTACTTGTATTGTAGAGTTATAGGTTAGGGGCACAAATGTAGGAAGCATTCCTCATGCTGGGCCTCTAGATTACAAGGTCTTTGTTTCAAGGGCCTCAATAAATCAAAATATACTCTTGCATCAGAGCAGACTGGTTCTGGCAAAGAATTGTTGTTCGAGATTGAAAAGATTGAAAGATTAGGACACTTTAATGCAGCTTTTCCAGTGGTTGTTGCTCCAAGAAGATACTACCATTGTTCTTTTGTGTGGGCCCATCTCTTGTGTTTCTGTTTTTAGCATTTAGCTCTTCGTGTTTAAGGATCTGTTTGCCAGTGTGAATTTCTCCCCCTGAAGGTCAGTTACCTAAATCTGATTCATCTCTGAACCCCTCAGAACTGTTAGTTTATTAGTGCATTCTCATCCAAGAGTTGGTGAATGAATAAGTGAAAGGAAAGGGTCCGTGATAGAGAGAATAGGACTGCTTCCTACGACCCATCAAGGCTGCTTGATGCCCAACTTAACTTGGCAAGTGAACGTTGCTGGTATTTTTTTTTAAATATTTTTATTTTTTAGTTTTCCGCTGACACAACATCTTTGTTTGTATGTGGTACTGAGGATCGAACCCGGGCTGCACGCATGCCAGGCGAGCACGCTACCACTTGAGCCACATCCCCAGCCCACATTGCTGGTATTTAGAGAAGGGTTTGTGTTGCCTCACACAATAAACTCTGCTTCCTGTGGCAACTGGAGTCTTGACTTAGTCTTCTGAGGCTGGGGCAGCTCTCACTCTGGCCCTCATCCAGTTGCCTTAACCAGGGAGAAATGAGGGTGCAGTCACCTCACAGACATCGAAGAATTTCCACTGGTCATATAATCAGTCATGGGTGGAGCCTCCTCAGGCCAAGATTCTTTAGAACTTTTTGCTACTCAAAATGTAGTGTAATGACCAACAATATTATGACCTAGAATTTTGTTAGAAAGGCACAGTTTGGGGCGGGCCTAAATCCAGATCTTCCAATTCAGAGTGCATTTTAACAAGATCAAAAGTGACTTTAAGGGGCTGGGATTGTGGCTCAGTGGTAGAGTGCTCATCTTGTATGTGCAAGGCCCTGGGTTCGATCCTTAGCACCACATAAAAATAAGTAAATAAAGGTATGGTGTCCAATTACAACAAAAAAATAAATATATAAAAGAAGTGACTTTAAGGATATTAAAATTGGGAAGTACTGTCCCAGGGAATTGTTTTCCCCCCAAGCTTGCCTCATCCTGAGAATTCACCTGGTATGATTATTTCTGTTTCATGAAGTCTTACAGGCCACTGACTGGAAGATCACCTTGCTTTCAAAGATGTTTTAAAAGTACTCATATTTTAAAAGGGTATGTCTTAGAATCAGTAGGTGTCAGTAATTATGTTAATTCCAGAGCCTGAGAAACTGTATTTTAAATTAATATAAATAATTTTTGTCATCTGGCAAGTTTGGAAAACCCTGGCCTACAACAGTTCTCAATTTGGGCGTACGTTGGCATTTACTGGAGAGCTTTTTTTAAAAAAAAACATTGATTTAATTGGTGTAGGGTACAGTCCAGGCATGAAAATTTAAAATTTTCCCCAGGTGATTCCCATGTGTAGCCAACCTGGAGAACCATTAAGTTAAGAAGATTTAACTTGCTCTTCCCTTGAGCTGGAAATGTGCAGCTGTGACCAGTGGGACAAGAAAGTGGGAGGTAGAACCTGGTTCTGCTCCCTACCAAACAACCTGAGCCCTGGCTGATCTCCTCCCCTCTGCCCTCTTTCAGCTGGCACCTGGCAGGCTGGTCTCTGGCATTGGTGCAATAGTGTTTTCCCAGTTGAAAACTGGCAAGTGTTTATTGACTTAAGGGAAAACAGGACTCTGAAATTGTGACATCTTGGCAACTTGGTTATAAGGTTTCGATAATTATACCTCACCACCGTCCTGCCCTGCCCTACCCACAATATTGGTAACTTATACCTAGGCCAGAGCTGTGTTGAAGGCTGCACCTTTCAAAGCAAGGGACTGCTAGGAACTCTGCTAAACCATTTAGGTGGCTCATAGCAGTTAATTCTCATAATAACTTCAAGGTAAGTGCTGTTTTCCCTAGTTTACAGACCAGACAACTGAGACTTGAGGGTTCCGTAATTTGTTCAAGGTTATGTATCTCAACAGACAATCCAGTGATCTTCCTTGCCACTACCCACCCCCTGCCCCTCAATAAGCAGCCATAAAGGCAAATTGGGAACCCAGGAACAGCAGCACTTGCATTGTAAGAGGAGCCACAAACTTGTTTCACACGTGAAAAGATGCTTGAGTGTGTTCCTTTGTCAGCCTCCACTGCTGCAGACTTCTGTGTCCTGCTTTGTTAGCTTTCTCACTAGTTCTTAGGGAACTCTTGGCCCTTGCCTGGCCTAAGAGCATGGTGGGATCCACCACTGTGGCACCATACTGTGCCAGGACATATTCCCCAGGGATCTCTTACCAGCTCTGTGCCTTCCCTATGACTGTTCTGGTAAAACAGTGAAGGCAGGTAGTGCAATTTCCATTTTAGAGGTAAGAGAAGTGAAGCACAATTTTAGTATTTCTCAAAATTCTCACTTTGCTGACAAAAGTCAGAGCTATAGCTCAGGTGTTTGGTTCACATCCCTTTATTACCACATAATTTTGAGAGGAAGAGGAATCACTGTTTCTCAAAAAATTTGGGCATATTTCTGAGTTAAGGGGAGAGCTCAGGATCTGACATTATCAGTAGTAAATTTTGTCCCAGAGACAGTGCTGGGATATGACACAGGAGGGAGATGCCTTTAGGACCTTCCAGTCCAAAAGAGGAGGAGGAGGAAATTCACAAATTAACAGTTTAATTAAAGGGACACTACTAATGCTGGGGAATTCAGAGTTGTTTAAAACCTAGCCTTCACCCTAGGAAAGGCAGTTATATACACATCTAACTGCTGGACTGGTAGGTTCTGTGGTAAAAGAAAGGAAGGGGTGATTGTAAAATGGACAGACTTTCCCTAGAGAAGCAGAACAGCCATAAAAATGGGGTTATGCATTTGGGGAGGGGAAAATCCATGAAAAAGGCATAGTGGCACATGAGGTATAAAATGTGCTCAGAGAAGATTGAAAAATTTGATGTATTGGAGCAAAGAGTGCATGGAGGGTAGGTAGAGCTAGGAGATGAGGACAGGAAAGAGAAATCGGGGTCAGCCAGTGAAAATCCTTGAATGACAGGTTAAGGGGTTTGGCTAAAATCCAGTGGGGACTTATAAACAAGTACAGATGGATACAGCTGCACGGTACTATAAACAGTGCTGTGTGACTGAGGTGACAAGGTAAGAGGAGGTGGCTGCTGGGAGAGGCTGAGAAATGAGCAAAATGACTTGGTTATAGAAGGATCTGGGCGTAGGATGGGACTTAGGAAACTGTCCTGACTAAGGATCTTTTTGAAAGTTCAGGTGTCCTCTTCTCCCAGATATAATGTCTGCTAGGAGTGGTGTGGCCTAGGGAGGCTGGCATCATTGGCAAGCCAGAAGGGAAGAGGAGCAGTTCTTCAGAGAAACAGGAGTGCATAGAAATTGGGGGCCCTCAAGGGCCTGGGTTCCAGGGGTAGGGGGCAATTAAAGAACCATAGTGGGAAGAGAAGTAACTGTTTAGAGGTAAGAAAGACCCCAAAGGCTCAAGATTAAGACCTCAATGTGAAAAGCAGAGGCTGTCGGAGGATCACTCCTTCCTTTCCCAAGCTCTGTTTTTTTTTTTTTTTTTTTTTTTTAAGACAATGAAAACCCACTGAGATTCTTTTTGATGTTGAGTAGGTGGGAGATTGATGCTTAGCTGTAACCAAGGCAGACTTCCTAGCAGCCACAGTACACCACCAGATGGCCAGGAGTACCAGGGATGGAGGGGAGGGTTATATAGAGAAGGGAGTAATGCACATGGGACCGCGAATGCTCATAAAGGACTAATGAACTGGTTTGCCTGGGTTGGTTGGAGGGCAGGGATTGCCACCTATTGGCTAAATAGGGTGGGTAGATCCAATGCTAGACAATTTTTAAAATGCAGATAGGTAAAAAGAAAAATATATATAACCCATAATTCCACCACTCACAGATAATAATTTTTTAACTTTTTGGTGTTTCTTTTCTATGCATATACATCACTTAATTAGGACCATATCATATGTATATAGCTTTTTTGCATCAGTTTTTTTCAATTTCATATTGTAAACATTTTCACATCATTAAAAAATTGTTCAAAAACAATTTTAATGGCTGTTTTTCATTTTCTGCCTGACAATAATTTAAACATTTCCCTAATGTTGGACCTTTAAGTTTCCCAAATTTTAACTGTGTGATAAACATTGCAATGATGAACAACTTTGTGCATACACATTTTTCTGGCAGTGGTTTTTAGAAGAACAATTTCCTGAAGGTGGATTACTGAGTCAATTAGTAAGAACCTTTTTGAGACTCTTGATTAAATATTACTAAATGGCTTTTAGAGCAATTCAATGTTTATGGCCACCAGTTGTGTTTGTGTGTGTGTCCCTCATTTTATTCACCTTGCTTGCTCTGTTAGATATGTATTTATTTGCTATTTTTGATACGCAAACATTATCTTCTTCATAGATCCTCCCACCCCCTATGTGTACAGAAGTCTTTTTTTTCAGTTCTGGTGATTGAACCCAGGTCTCTGAAAAGTGCTAGGCAAGAGCTCTGAGCTACACCTTAGCTCAAGACCCACTTTTTTTTTTTTTTAAGTTTGGGG